TATTGTCGTACAATTTATCTCATTGTCACAAGAATCTTTCAAAAGCGTTTGATTTCTTACAAAGTGAAATTAACAGATGAAATCCTAAACATATGTGCAAATTCAAATAGTATTAATACGAGGGATGGAATATAATTGGCTGTCCCATAACAACTAATGAATAATAAGTAAGCCTAAACTCATTATTCCATCTAATCTATCACTTATTATCTGAGTAACAACAATGCTATCTTACCTGAATATTTTGAATAATTAGCTGGGACAGCAAAAATAACACAAGCATTCATTCATTAATTATTTTTGTTTTGTTTACTCATCTTCAATTTATGCATGCTGTGACAATTGATCCACAAAACATTTAAAAAATTGTATATTTTCTTTTGAAAATTCACCAATCAGAGGTGATGAATGGTGAATGAAATTTCTTCTCACGCCTCTCATGAATACACACAATCTACTATCTTAACATTTTTTGCTACACATCACATGTCTCTTACACACTGAAGCAAATACCATATAAACAGTGTAAACATGATTGGATGACCTATTTGGTATACAGCCTTCTGTTTATATTCGGTAATTTTAATGTCTGGCTATTTCTACTTGAAAACGCTTGTACCATACTGTCAGGCAAAACGTTGAATCTACTTAAAATTCAGTCTCTGAGATTTCACAAATATATTCTTCCTCCCCAATGTCTTGCATTAACTCAGCGCCTAAATACTTTAGAGTAACTTGTCCGAATTTAAAAGCAAGTTCTTATGTACCAATTACATCCATTCTACACCACTGCTAAAACTGAGAAGTCTCTAAGCACTTTTGTATCCTATAAAACATCGAACAAACTGAGTAACCCACCACAGTGAAGACTGTATCTCTTGTAACGGTTTGATCTTACCTGTAAACTGGCATGCCTCACGTAATAGACTGCTGTTTGAGAATAAATTGTTATTAATACTATTAACAATCCCGAATAACTAACTTGCGAAAATTCGTCCAGGTTGAGGATAGAATAATATGTTTGATATGGAGAGGATTACGTTATATGGCGACCACATCCATAAAGCTGAACCTTGCCGTACCGATCAATTGTTGAGCTGAACTTACCTAAGTGTAACATATTGAATGAGGATCTTCTCTGTAATTATATGCTCAGCCTCAAAGATCGCGTGGCTAGGGTTCAATATCACTAAAAGTCAATTCCCATTGTTGCGGAAACTTAATCTGCTGCAGTTGGCACCCAGAGAAATTGCTTCTTAGAACCTAAGTCCAGCATCAACGTCTTCTGCTCAGATGTCGTGACTTCAGTTTTGTTGTAAGCCTGAAATTTAACTGAGGGAGTTTTTCGGCCCAGCCGTTTTTTGCTCTGAGGCGTAATACTTAGTGCAGCACTGGTATCCACCACAATGTTTAAGCCTGAATTTCTGTCCAACATAAAACGACGACCGTCAAGGCACCCCTCTTCAGCAGTCGTCACTTTCAGAGAGGTTATTCATCTCTCATATTCTTAAGAGTCTATTTTAGCTACATTACCGACTACACACAGTTGATTTGGAACCAGACTCCTGGTGATATCAACAGAACTGCCCAGGTCGTCTGAACGTTTGTGACCTGCTCTTGTTTTTATGGTCTATTTGTATTTTGGAGATGGTTATCGAGAAACGCTGCGATGTGACATTTTGCGTGTAGTTCAGGCAAAGATTTGGAAAAATTCGCAGCTCAGAGGAACTTCCAGTTTTACTGCATTTTCCCAAAGTTCACCCCAAATATTCTACAGGGGTGTCGCAAGCATTATCGAAAATTGATCGACTTTGTCTCAAAATTAGTAGCTTATGATTATGGACCAACCCAGTCTCCCTGTTTCGGGGTTTTCTCCAGAGCCCAATCGTCTTCCCCAAAGTTTTGGGGATTCCCCATATATAGGGAAATTTTGGGGTTTTTATGTCATTTCCCCAAATTTTCTCAAAAGGGACGAAATTTTCATCAAAATAGGGAGATTGGAAAACTAAAAGTCCCGAAGGTTCCTTTTCATGTCAAGACACAAATAGGGCGAAATTGGCTAGTTTACATCAATTCGACACACGCTTATTGGATATCGTACTCCTGAGTCTACCAAACAAACTGGTTGAATTGCGTGAACTTAGCAACGCTAATAAGGCCCATCTGATAGGAATATCTGAAACCTGGATATCTTCTCAGTTATCGGACCAAGAGTTAGCATTGCCTGGGATGACTTTGTTCCGCAACGACAGAAAAACAGGAATTGGGGGCGGAGTAGCCATATACATAAGCTCTTGCTTGGAGGTGCACCAAGTTCACAACCTCGAGTTTAACAATATTGAGGAATCCATATGGTGCTCTGTAAGATTGTCTAGTAATTCGAGGTGTCTAGTCGGAGTCATTTACAGGAAGCCAACTGCCGACATCGAGTACGATAGTCGTATGCTGGAAGGACTATCCCGCTCTACCCGTCTCGGTTTCACACACATCCTGATTCTAGGGGACTTTAATCTCCCTAGAGTCAACTTCGCGGAACACACGTACACTGAAGGCGACAACTCAATTGAATCTCGGTTCTTCAACCTCATCGATGACTTGGGCTTATATGAAAATATGAGGTCGGCAACTCGTTGGAGAAACAGTCAGGCACCATCGCGCTCAGACTGTGTATTCACAAACGAAGAATTTCTAGTTGACAACCTTTCAATCTTGGCTCCCCTGGGAAAAAGCGATCACGCCGTCATAGCCTTCAGTTTTGTCAGTAAAACTAAGCTAAGATACCCCACTAATAATTTGCGTTGAAATTTTAAACGGTTAAATGTGCCAGCTCTATACGACTATCTACAATAGGTGGTTTGGGATGTCCATCCCCAACTTGACGTGGACGGTCATTGGGACTTCTTATTGCACACGCTCTTACGTGCAACAAACCCTTCAGTTCCTCAAACGGTTCCCAAAAGCTGCAAGCCACCAACAATAATAAAGAACCGTACCCTTCGCCTGCTAAGCCGCAAAAGGCACTGTTGGGCGGAATACAAACGAACCAATAACGACGGAGCGTATAGGCAATATAAACATATCAGGAACATATGCACGAAGGCTATAAGAGAAGATAGGCTTCTGTACCAGACAAAGCTTATGGACAAATTTTCCTCCAATCCTAAAAGCTTATTACGTTATGCAGCCTCTCTTCGTCAAGCCAAAACTGGAGTTTCCCAACTGGTAGGTCTTAACGGCCCGACCAACAAAGATGGCGATGCCGCTAACCTTCTGGCTGAACATTACTCCCAGACATTTCAACCGACCGAGATTAACTTTACTGATGACAGTTTCGTTTGCAATTCCACAGAACTTTCCGAAGTGAACCTAAGCGCTGACTTGGTGTTCCGGAAACTTCAGCACTTAAGATTAGACACTTCTGGCCCGGATATGGTCCATTCCGCCATACTGAGGGAAGCAGTCTCAATCTTGGCAACACCGTTTAGCGTGATGTTCTCACACTCGCTAAGTCGAGGAAAACTACCGGAAAATTGGAGGCTGTCTCACATCACACCAATTTTCAAAGGAGGTCGACGCAGAGAACCTTCAAGTTACCGGCCGGTGGCTCTTCTGTCATTACCTTCAAAACTCATGAAGTCCCTGATATGCGACGGTTTAAACGACTATCTACTGTTCTTAAATTTCTTCTCACCCCAACAGCATGGTTTCAGGAAGGGTTACTCTTGTATAACCAACCTGCTGACTGCGGTCGACAGATGGACAAGCATCCTCGATCGCAAGGGAAAGATTGATATCATTTACCTTGATTTCTCAAAATCTTTTGATAAGGTTAACCACTTGTGTCTTACCAATAAGCTCAAACGACTAGGTATCAAACCACCTCTAATCGATTGGCTTACTTCATACCTAAAAAATCGATACTTTAAGGTTAGGGTTAATTTCACTTTATCTCAGGCTATGGAATGTCCTAGTGGGGTCCCCCAGGGCCCAGTACTAGGGCCTCTTCTCTTCTTGATCTACATAAATGATCTTCCTCAACAGGTAGCGTCAGACTTATTACTTTTTGCCAACGACGTGAAACTTTGGAGAGATACGCAACCAAGACGATATACAGGCACTTCAGGAGGATCTGACTCGACTTCAAAGTTGGGCAGACGATAACGGACTTGCCTTTAACACTTCAAAGTGTAAAGTAGTCCATCTGCGACATGTTGCAAACTACAGTTACAACTCAGGAAACTCCTCTCTAGTAGTATCTCAAGTCGAAAAAGATTTAGGAGTCCTGGTGCCCCATGATTTAAAATCTTACGCTAACTGTGACAAAAATGCCTTCCGAGCAAACCTTGCACTGGTAACGTTGAAGCGCATTTTTGGACAGTTTGACGGACGAACTTTCCATACAGTCTTCAATAGTTTCATCAGTCCCCATTTAGAGTACGGAAACATAGTACTCCCTCCCTCACTCCAAAAGGACAAGGTCACTTTGGAGCGTATCCAACGTCGAGCCACGAAATCAGTTCGAGGACTCAAATCTAAACCTTACGAAGAACGCCTCCATTCACTGGAACTTTACCCATTAGAGTATAGGCGTCTTAGAGGTGATTTATTAATGGCTTATAGTATTCTTAACACTTCTGGACATCCTCTTAAACACCTACTTAAGCTTAGTTCGAATAACAACCTAAGGGATAACACCCAGAAACTGGAAACACAACATAGCAAGACGGAATGAAGACACAACTTCTACTCCTTAAGAGTTGTCAAAATCTGGAATTCGCTACCAGCCGAGCTAGTCCAAGTGACTTCTCAGGAGTCCTTCAAGAGGCAACTTGACCTATTCTTAAGGACCAAGGACAGCATCACACTATGATTTACCAATTTCTTTTCCTCTTTTATTGTTAACATACCTAGGTTCCTGCCTGGAGGATTTGGTGATCCCCTGCTACTAGACACGGAAGCCTGTTAAGCGAAAGCTTCTTTTATTCCGTCCACAACCATTTGACCATTTGAACCATTTGAAGGTGATCACTGTGCGCAAGATACGAATCAATAAGATATGCGTGTCTTGTCTTATTGCTTAAAGTCGTTGGGGGTGTCGAGGTAAACTTAATTAATGGGAATGATCAAAGCGTTCAGCAAACTTTTGTCTCGAGGCTTCATTTCTGCCAGGTTCAGGTCAACCCTCAGTCCAGAAGATGTAGGCTTTTTTTCATCCTGTCAGTGTATACTTTCCAGAGGATGCGTTACATACATTGGTGCTCTTTCGTTTTCCTTGCAGGGTCATTCACTGTAGGTTCAGTCTTACTGACAAGAGACCTTGCAAAAGGTTAGTGACTAATTTTGTGGATCTAAGTATACTAATTAAAATTTTTGTTTTGTCATTCATTCATTTCACCCACTGCTATATAATGTCATTGGGTGCAGAATAAACGTATGTGGCTTTTTATTATCTTACCTCTTGCTTATTTCCCAATGTCGTTATGTTAACAGTCACATAGCGTTGCCGTAGCAGGTGAATGACTTGAAGTGCGAATATCCGGTTTCTTAAACGGCGTTTATGGTTACGGAAGACGCACCTTAGAGAGTTGGAAAACCCTGATTTCAAACATGCACATGGGCTCCAGGATCCTAAGGATGCAAATGGTGACTGACCCCACTCTTGGTCACCGGCTACTATGAGTCCGCACTTCCTAGCGTTGTTCCATTGCCCTGTGGATTAGACATTTAGGTCGAAGGCTCTGGGTGTGGCCCCCTAAAAAAACTACCTGCCTTAGTTTTGGCACCCAGACAGTATTCCGGGCCACACATCCACTTATTTTTGTGGCACATATATATTTTAGTATCGCTTTGTACCAATATTTATATTCAAATAAATAATAAGTAGTGAATATATTTTGGGTGGTTGATACAGTATTTTATAAACGTTTACTCAGGATGAAACTATAGGGTGAAGAATCTCGACAATTAATCAGGTTTTGTTTAAGGTGAGTAGCTTAATGTACAGAGTTGACAATGTTGGTTTTAGTAAACAAAGTTATTTGTTTCAGCGCCTTGCAGGTGATGCTCAAATTTGGACTACCATCTCTTGAATTCATTTTATGCAGGTGAATATAAAACTTTTGACGTAGTCCGGGTTAATCAAGTTTGGTTATAACTTATTAAATTACTGTAAATAGTTCATCAGTTTCATATGCTACTAGTTGCAGTGTATAACTGTTTAAGTGTATTTGGCGGGTACTTTTATACTTTGTATACTCTAACCCCACTTATAATAAGAACTAACGATACTAACCGACTACCCATCTGGAAGGGGGACAAAATTAGAGCCTCCAACTAATATGTTGGAAATTGGTTGCTTAAGCCAATAAAACACCATTATACAGCTTTAGCTGATAATAAGTAACTCTTTACTCATCTTTCCGTCCACTACCTATTTCTCATACTAATTTGGTCTTCACACAGTTAATTAAATATTTTTATTTTTTATTAATGTAACTCAGCATCGTGTTGAGAATATTTTTAACCTGATTTGTGAATAACCCTGTTTATGGGTTCCATCTGCCTATTTCTCAGGACTTACGTGTTGATTTTTCTGAATATTTTTAAATTGTTGGATGATAATTAAAAATCACAATCAACTGTCGCGAGCGTTCACCTTATTGTTTCTAACATTTTAGCCAAAAAAATATCAGAAGGAAAATATGGTCTGCCATCTATTGGTGGCGATTTCAATTTGGTTGACCACAATGGAAACCCATGTAAATTAGCTGATTTCCGCGGAAAATGGGTTCTGTTGTACTTTGGGTTCTGCAGATGTCCAGATATATGCCCAGAACAAATAGAGAGACTTGTGGAAGTATCTGACAGAATAAGTAAGCTAAAGAAATGTTTAAGTAATTTTATTAAATGTGACCATCTTTTTTGCTTAGTATGTAATTTTGAAATCTTGTCTAGTGTAGTTCTATGGTCTTAACAGCTGATTTCATTAATATTTTGGTTTATTTTGGCACCACATTAAGTCAATAGGTCTCATATTTTCCTTAAGTTTTTCATACTTCAACCAAAACGTATTTCGGGATTTTAGGTCTACTCAAAAAGGTTCATTTATTTGAAATGTTATTTTTGCATTGCTATGGTAAAGTGATTGTAATCATTTCTTATTTTCGTAAAGACTAAATAATATCGCTTTTTAAGGTACTTATGGTAATACTGGTGACATTGTCTTACTCGAAGATGATAGACTATCTATCCACCAAATTATCTTCATTCTTGTGTGGTATATTGTTCAAATCACATAATTATCTATAAGCTGTGATTACAAAACATTTCTGTTTTGTGGAAATTGGACGCAATTGTTTTAGTGTAAGCATCATCCTATTCGACAAAATCATTTGCTTAATGTTATGACGTGATGAAAAGTGAATATTAGATTAATTTACTCATTATGATTTTTATTCAGCATTGATTCCGTTTAGTTCAATTTAATGATCATTCAGTATAGTATTTTCGTTTTCCCCTATGGTATTTTATTCTGTCTAACATACGACATTTTTGTATTAAGTTAACATGAATTATACTCAGCATATAGTTTGTTAACTAAGTATTTTTCATATATGTGATTTTATTCTGATTATTAATAAAAAATGGGTGTACAAACTAATATATAAATGAGTGTATTTCCGACTAGACTTGTTGTGATTGCTCGTGCTTCTGGCTGCTTGCGAAATATATTTCCGTGTTTGAACTTGGACTTCTCTCTCTAGTTAGCGGAGCTGGGACGGATCAGAATAGTTAGCGTATTGGTCTTTGGTCACAGAGTCTTGTTCCGTTCGCAGACTAGGTGAACTCGTAGGCGCTTCAAACATAACACTTAAGCTGTATATTCGTATTTATAGTTGCTTGATGTGTATGTCTATAAAAAGATAGAGTGATTACATTATAAAGTGATCCTAGATTTCAAATGTTAAAGTGTTGCCTAATAATCAAGGGGTTAGAGAAAAATAGGAGGATGAAAATAGTTGGAGTTTTGTTGTTTGAGCTGGATGGTTTGGCCATGCAGCTTCGATTGTTCTTTTGAACAGCGTCAGCACAAACTTCAAGTAAAAATGAATTATTTGAACTTCTTTACGTATGACACAGCTTATCCTGTCGGTCTCGGTCCTGATTGGTTATTGTTGACCTTTAACTTGTCATTGCCTTCCTGTTTATTTTGATTGTATCTACCTTTGATTTGATTCTTGATCCTATATTTGTCCATGATTCTCCTGATTGGTTAATAGATTGGATCGATTTCAATGTGTTTGTTATTTACTGATAGACCTAAGCGTCAAGCTTAAAACTTCTCAGATGCTTGTCCACAGTTGTCCACATGCTTTGATATAAGCGAAGATGTTGAGATCTTAGATAGAAGGAATACTAAAAGCATCCGACATCAAACCTCACCTAAATAATCCAAATAAGCTACAAATCTTCATCTGAGGATGAAAATAATTTGCAGGTTAGGAATATGGGCGACAATTGTCCACTAAACAGACATGAAGAAAAGAAAATTTTTTTCACTGGATTCTATTTTTATTCAATAACACAATGGGCTAATCTAGTTATCTCGTCTCGTACGTATAAAAAATACCAAGTCAAACCATTTGGCAGCTTTACACTTAAGTTTTTAGACATCAGTTGAAGAAATATGAAAAACTAAAAACATTTAGATGAGCATCATTTTTTAGTTTTCATCAAAACTTTCCTTTCTGTAAAAACTTGAATTAAGGTAGTGGTTGTTGCACTCATTGTTAAACCTAGTTTTTCAGTTTTATAAACCATCGACCCATCCCATATTTTAATACTACCAGTTCTTTAAACATCACAAATATGCTTTTTCTTACAGTGCTTATTGAAAAACCCAAGTATCCCTTAGTGCCTGTATTCATGTCTGTCGACAGCGAACGTGATACCCCAGATATTTTAGCTAAATACGTTAAAGGTAATAAGTTTTCATCTTATATTTCTTGTATTTTAATGTACTATTTAGCAATAATCAAAGGGTTGTTAATTTTCCAGAACTCTTGTCATTTTGCAAGATATTTATTTTCGCTGTAATATCTTAAGCCGTTCAGTGGTAACACTTGTTGTAGTAGTGTATGATAAAATCCTCGGTCACTTATGAAGTCCAAGATTACATATAAATCTTACTGGTGAATATGAACAGTTATAATACTTGAGTATGAGTCCTAATGCAGATTAATTTTAACTATCCAAAGTCTAGCATTTCGTACTGTATTATTAAATATAGCAAATTGTCAGTCAAATTCCAATCATGAACAAAAAAAAAAGAAATTTCAACCATCATTTTTCCTATCTAAAAGCGATTCCTAACTATTTACATTCACTTATTCACTGTATCAGGAGTGAAGATAAATAAAAAAAACTATATAAAACCTGAAAACAACTCATTTGTTCAAAAAGGTTAACGTTCGAAGTACCACAGTTAATAGTATTTAATCAGAGACAAATCATAAGTTGAATTTAGTTATTTCTAGTGCATTAAGTGAAATCATAATCTTATTCATGTCTTCAACCAATGATTTTGAGTGGTTTTAAGCCAAGCACTTAAGGGATATTATTGTTTTTACTTTTTTGTACGAAAATGTGCAAATGATAAGCGTTTAGTGTGGTACACCCTGTATAATATACTTTTCGGTGTCGTATTGTACCAAAATTTTCATGACATAAAAAGCCAGTGAAAATGATTTGTTCACTACTGTCATCACAATAATTCTAATACTGTCGAGAGTCTTGATTAATTGTAATCTCTTACAACCAATATTTTCACTTGAGCTATTGTACAAGGGGAACCCGAAAAGCAGTTATCTTATTTGGTGAGTATTGGCCATGATATCTGGTGCCTAGTATTGCCTAAATTCGTACGTATTACTCTATGCAATACTTTCACCAAGTGTAACTCACTGACTCCTATTTTAAATCCCTACAATTTTATATGCAGTGTCAACATATTGTGTTTTATGTGTACATTAGGTAATAGCAGAGTCACTGTATAATTGGCTATAGTAAGTTCTGCAACTGGGTCAACCAGATAATAATGGTATTAATTAAATGTTTTTATTGTAAGTGGTAAGATCTCATTTTAATGATAAAATTATGTTTTCTTTCTCGTTTTTGGCTGTAGAATTTTCACCACATCTGATCGGGCTGACCGGTACTAAAGAAGAAATTGATAAAGTTTCTAAGCTCTATCGTATTTATTACAGTACAGGACCAAAAGATGCAGATGGCGATTATATTGTGAGTTTTTTTGGTGTTTAATGGTTATTCAGTACATTGAATGCGTGTTACGAGTAGCATATATGATGAATTAGTGTTTAAAGTATTGCTAAATGGTTTTGGTTTTATGAAATTGTGGTGTTTGGGTTTTGGGTGTTGAGTGGCTTTCAAATCGTTCAAATCGCTGGCAGCAAGAAGTCTGACGTGCGTGAAAAAAATTTGTGAAGCTAATGAGATGCCGAACAATAACTGCTGCCGACGTCTTGGACGATGGGCAGAGTTTTTCAAGAAGTTCAACTGGTCCGCTACCTCGGTGACATCGACCAGACTTTCCTGCCCTTAGAAAACTAACTCGCTAAAAACCGCTAACCAGAAGAAATAATTCAAGCCATTTAAACTCTGCCACGGGAGTTAGAAGGTCTTCATTTAGAAAAGTTATGACGCCTCATGGTGGAACCTGAGTTCCTTCGGAAGTCACAAGGCTAATGTCCCTTCCGACAACCGGAGCAACGATTAATTTAGGCACATGGAATGCTCGTACAATATGGGAAACCGGGAGAGTCATCCAAATTGCTGCAGAAATGAAAAGATACAACCTTTCTAAAAATGGTGGAGACCTGGTTCATGAACTGAGTTATTTACAAGTGTCTGGCAATTAGAGTGTTCCAACGTCGTGGGATAAGTTGATAGTTGTCCCTATCTTTAAAAAGGGTTCGCATCATCTTTGCATCAATTATCGGTGGATAAGTCTACTTCCGATTGCATCCAAAGTGTTATGACCTTGATCTGTCTACTATAGATTAAAACCTCGACGCAATAGGCTGACCGGTTTAACCTTGAGGCTAGTACGCGTGAGTTCGAGGCGGGGTAGAGAGAAGAAAACTATTCTGTCACATGATTGGCTGACAAGCACGGTAATGAGAGAAGTCAAGACAACTGGAACACTATTCGCTCTATTCCGATATACTGCTTTCCTGTAAATTCTCTGAATTCAGATTAGTGCAAAAAGGTACATGAATAAATAGGTGATTTACCCGACCACAACGTACAATAATTTGGGAAAACACAATTATGTCCAAAACTGTGAATTAGAGTAGAAAATAAAATGCAAAATATTTTTAAATTACAATAGCTTCGGAAAAAAGGGGTATGGCAGTGAATGATACATCGAACGAAAGCTCATGTTCTGTAGAATAAAATAGGGACAAAAATAAATGTCAGTGTTTTACAAGCTTTGAATAAAATGAAATAACGTCCCGAAAAATAGCTTTCTTAGTTTGTCAGGGCTTCATGTTTCCCTGTTCACATCACAAACTTCTTAGATTTTCCGAACCCGAGTAAGATTGACTCGCGAGGAGCAGGCTGGTTTTCGTTCCCGTGGAGGATGTATTGGTCACAATTTCACCCCCCACACTAAATTGTAGAACGTCTTACCTATTACAGGCCAACAATCATAGTGTTTCTTGACATCAGTGCCGCTTTCGATTCGTCGGACAGACGTGTTCCCTGGGATGATCTATTGAGGAAGGGTGTGCCTGAAAAATTTATTAACGTCTTTAAGGCTTTATATGCTGGCACCTCAGACAGAGTTATGGCATACAACCACCTCTCCATTGTTCCATTCAAACAGTTGGGTTAGGCAGGGTTGTCTAATTTCACCGTTTTCCTTCAACTTTGTTAGCGATGACGTTCTGGAAACAGACCTGATGGATATAGATAATGATAGTATGGACCCGTTGCCTGGAGAAAGACATTTCGATCTTGAGTATGCGGATGATATTGTCTTACTGTGCGATAACCAGTTAGCAATAAGTGTCCGTAGGTATGGTATGTGCTTTGCATCTTCTAAGTGCAGGGCCAGGGTCCTGTACTCACCCTGAGTAGTGTGCAGATAGAAGTAGTCGAGAAGTTCGTGTATTTAGGTGGATGTGTAAGTGCTGGTAGTGGCATGAGTGAGGAGATCAATTCACGTATAACGTAAGCCAGAGAGGCTTATGTCAATGCGGACCGCCTTCATGATATTAGTCTGGTTTTTGAAGGTCGGATCTATAACGCGACGGTGAGAGCAGTTTTTCTCAACGCTTGTGAAACCTGACTTCTCTGAGTTAAGGATGTTATCATCGTTGTTTCCGAAGGGTTGCTGACATTCAATGTCAACACTATGTTAGTAATGCAGAGGTTCAACATTGTGTGTTCGGGCACAGTGACCATAATTCATTTGGTGTCACCACCTTGAAACACCGACTTCAGTGGTTTGGAGATGTTCAAGGAATACCGTTCCGGCGAATTCCACACCGTACATTATTTGCCGACGCTAAGACCGGTTGAAAAAAGCGGAGAGGTGGTTAGTGCACATCATGGTGTCGTGATATGAAAGAAAGCTGTACAAGACTGGGTTCTGTTGACCCTTCAATATTCCCTGGTGGGTTCCTGAAGATGTTACAACGTAGTGGCTTGAAACGATCAGAAATAATTCAGAGTAAAAGCCAGTGGCGAACCTGCTGTAACTTTCCTTTACTTTCTTCATAAAAGTCAACGCAACTTTAACTGAAGGAATTCTTTCTGGTTGTATTTTACCTAACTGAACTGCTCTTTTCATAATAATGATAATAATGACAATCATAATTTCACTCTCGTACAATAATTTTCGTTCATTGTTGATTTCCATTTTTTAATATGTTCGCCTTCCATTCCCCATCTCTTCACAATTTCATTTTTATTGTTTGGCGCATATATATTTGGTGCCCCCTCGTACCAATATTTATATGTTCAAATAAACAAGTAAATGAAAGAATAAAGAAATGAATACTTGTTCGTCTGTCAAATTGATTGAATTAAATTTTAAGCTAAATAATTAATTCCCTCGCTTAATCTTTTGATCGTAACATATCAGTCAGACAGCCTCATGCAGTAACATTTGTAAGGAGTCAATCAGTTTGCACACTATGTACCATAATGTCCAATTTATAATCGTCACTTTTTTTATTTGTCGTTGATTTGTTCTTAATCCCCACAGGGGAAATTGTTTATGATTCATAGGCATCATGCCAAAATCTCTTCGTTTTAGATTGATAAGGCCGTTTTTCTTCTTAAAAGTTACATTCGATATCTGTTTTCGCACAAGTATACTTCAAAATATAAGTTTATCCGCGATATTTTAATCTGCCACTGTGTACAAAGATCAATTTTATTATGTCCGTTTATTTACTGCAAATTCATAACCAAGCTCAATTTTGTGTTCTCATTGTTGAGTTGCCGTATGACCTATTGGTTGAAAGTAGAGGTTTTCAACCACTAAACCACAACTTCGATTGGTTTTCTTGGTGTCTGTGTATGTGAAAGATGTGTATGTCATATCGTTATGCATGTAGAAGAAATGATAGAAACTCTGTTGCATCTCGTCGAATTCATTCACCCTTTCGGTGGTACGTGTTCTGTGTAGTTCATGTCTATTCAAAACTTTTCTATTTAGACTATTCTTAAGCAAGTCTGTTGAATAATAAGATTGTTTTAAATTACCACGAGTTTTGTACCTGCAAACAAATTACTATTTAAGTGGAAAAAGTGGATTCTACTACGTGTCCGTTTGAATGCTTTATTTTCTTATATGAATCAACTAACGATATGGGAACAGCTCATGTGCGCTTATCAGTAAATACAAACATCAAGAATTAATCTTGATACACTGGACAAATGATCAATAAAAATTCCTGGAGCTGGCTTTCAAGCTCTTAGTGTTTTTGTTACAGATCTGAGATATTGTAGTGAACAATAACACTAGTGGGATAATCGAATGTATTTGACACGAAATTACAGAGCATCTCACTAAAATCTGAGAACCATATAGTAAATAGTTAATTTCAAAATATTGTAGTGGCTGTGCTTCGTTAACCAATCACCCTCATAACCGTTACCATATAGTCCTCAACGGTGTTTGAAATCAGAAGGCAAAGAGAAGCAGCGACTACAGTTTTATTAGCAAATAACTCAGACCACAAAGTAGAGAGGCAAAGTGAGTGAGTCAGCGAATTGAGAGTGTAGAGTGTGTAGGTTTAAATGTACATATATATATATATATATATATATATATATATATATATATATAGGGAAACGAATGGATCATCGGATCAGTTAAGCAGCTAATAATAATGCTAGCAGAATGAATGTATGCGTAGGCGGTAAGCAATGTTCAAGCATACATATTTCACACAAGCACAACAATAATAAAGGCACAAGTTGTTATAGTTACGGATGACTCTGTCCGCTAAATAAGTTAACAAAAGAGCTTAACCGAATTAAATGAGAACAAACTCAATTGCACGTGAGGTGCTATAATATCAATCCATCGTCCCAAACTTCACTGTTCCTTTTGCAAATATCAATCCATTGTCTCAGATTTCATTGTCCATGTTTTTTCATACCAATTGCGTTCCGTTTCGTTCTTTCCTTATCGATCTTCTGCCTGACCACTGTTATATACCACCTATATGACCTATAAGTAACCTACACCATAATATTACTTTAAATTATATTTATGATTTGTTCACATTTAATATCGATAGGTTGACCACACTGTTATAATGTACTTACTGGATCCGAAAGGACAATTCTCCGACTATTATGGACAAGTTAAACCAGTACAGGAGATAGTACAAAATATTACAGAAAAAATGAATGCATACAAAGACTAACACTTCGTATGTTTATATGTTCACATATGTATAGTGGATTACTACTCTTTTATTGTGTAATCTGTTCATTTTCAGTCAAATATAAACTACAATATTATTTACCTTTAGTAGTTAGTCTATATTGATGGATGGATTTCTTTTATTTTACTTTCTAAATTTAATTACTTGGTATCTGAAAAATTTGTGTAGTTAATTTGACTAATCTTCGTTCACTGAAACGACTTCCTACTGTTACCATTAAAAGTAGAATTAGAAATATTTTCCGTATATTTAACTCTATATATTTTATTAAGATTTTATACGGCGCGTCGGTGAAAGTGACCATTTTACATGGATATAAGTAGCAATTATTTGAACTTTGTTACTGATAAATACAAAAGTTCAGAATTATTACACTTAACGTCAGTGGTTTCAAGAAGTTATTTTGGTAAAAAGGGATATTATAGCAAAGAAAGTAATTAATTTACTAGAGATGCTAATGTTATCCAATCTCTCAACAGATCAAATAGCACTCTTCAAGGTGTATACAGTTAGTTGTTGATGAAATGATTCTCACATCTCTGCTAGATAGTTGGCTATCTTCTGTCATGCTGAATTAATCATTAGTTATATAGGTCTGAGTGGGATGTTCGATATGTGTATCTTTGATAGACCACACATGTATGGCAAATAAAACCACTTAAGCCTTTAATAACTATACGTAGAGCTGTCAGTGATTCTTTTCTCCTTTGAATTAGTCAAGTTTGCTATATTTGTCTATGCTAGTCATTTAAAATGGACTAAATTTTGGTAACCTTTATTTGGCTGCAATATTATTATCTTGTCTTTGTTTTGTAAGTGTGGCAATCAAATTTCGTGTTCATTAGATAGTATTCTCAAGTCTGAAGTGGGTGAGGTAAAGTAGTAGTTACCGATATCGACTAATTTATATTGAAACCAACCCTTATTGTTCTCATTTACTGAATTCCAGTCCTTCAACCTGTCAAAAAGTTTGCTTATTGAGCTCTAGCATCCATTTTATCAATAGTCTTATAGGATATGAAATTTGAATCCATATGCAGCTTCATTCTCTATTTTGTTTAATTCTAAACTCAATAGGTTATAAAAAATTTTAATTGTTACTCAAAAACCATATAATTGTTCTTTCAAAAATGTCGTCTACAGTTTTGCGAAATTTCTCGCATACTCTGTTTCGAAAATCCCGGATGTAGGGTTTATTGTTAGACATAAAAAAATTAAAGACAATCCGAAAGAAGATAGTCATTGGAAGGGGCTGCCTTTACCTATCTGAGTTTTGATCAGTCAAAATTTTGCGAAGAAATTTGGCAGACGACTTAGCATTGGATGCTATAAAATCTACCCCGAAGCCAAACTTATAATCTTGTGTAAAGCATGTGCAATCAAGAGTTGACAGATACTTTTTTCATTTTAGCAACGATTATATCTGTATTGGCATTACGGTTTCACTTGGTGTACTGCATCTGAGAGGCTCGTGGAAATTTCTCTAAGAGGCATTATTTTCTTTAGCAGAGTCTTCAGATCATATCCCGAGAAGTCTTCGTTCAATAAAAATAAAGGTGTGTAGTAGTACAGTAATTTCTAAGCGTTTCTCGGGCACGAGACATCAGGTGGACTTTATGTGATATTCCAAATTGGTTAGTAGGCAACCAAACTCTAGTCTACTAAAATCTCAAGCTTCTGCTATCAAGCATAAAAAAATTGACTCGTGTTCAAAAACAAGCGTCAGGGTAACCCATGTAACGTAACTTACATGGTTAGGTCAGATTTTTAACGTCCCTTCATTTGGTCAATTCCTCGCATTATTTCCTGGTTCTCTTTCGATAGGTTTACTTCAAACTGACTTAGCTTCATTTATTTTATTATTCTTTTGAGATTTTGCTCACTACATAATCACTTATTTCTAGCCCCTTTGGTTTGTTGTTTTGCTTTCAGTGTTCTCGAGTATCCTCCATACGACATCGTAATATTTTATTCCATCTCTTAACCTTATTCAGATATTTACCATAATAATTTCCAAGCTACATTACAATTTTGATTTTTGAATATTATAGATTGTAGTGAGTTGATGAGAACCTAGTTCAGAGAACTCAATACTATCGACAACGAATACAGATATTTGAATAAATTATATAATTTCCAACAACCAGTTCACCATCCATCAGTACAAATAATTGTTGAATGTATTCTTGTTATAAATAATAGAAATAAACTTGATTATTGCATCATTAGACCAATAACTTTGTAGGTTTGTAGTTCAAGTCATATGTTTCGTTAATTCTACCTATGTAAATAACTGAATTCATGTTATTTTACCTAACTTATTGTTCCTTTACTGTACTCAATGTTAGATTGCCCTTTCTGTGTTCACTCAGGTAAGGCGATCATGATAATCTCTAAACAAACCTAAAATCTACTAACAAAAGATATTGTATATCACTGTTGGCATGGGTTAGATTTATCCTGTTGTTGATGCTAAGGACTGGTGGATCCCCGAATAGGGCATGACGCATGTCTTGAATTTCATAGCTACCCAAAATACATATTTTATTCGTCCTATGATTTCACAGTTACTTTGATGATTTTAATATTCCATCTAGAATAAATAACGTGAAGAAAAGAGTATTAAAAGTGATCACACAATGACTGACAAACGAGGTTTCTATTGATATTATTATTGCTATAAATCTGTTCATTTAAACGTCAATTTAAAACTACTTATCTAGTTTATAAGTAAAAATATGCTCATATATGACAATATCAAAGTTAAGGTATTCGGCAAAATGTACAATTGATTCAATAAGAAAAATGAAACGGGAAAAACCATGTAAAGATAGTATCTAAAAATTGACGTCTGAAAGTGGTAGCTTGAAAATCAGAGAACGAATGGTCAATTTTGAATGATCAATCGGTGCATACATTTATACCAGAATCATATGTATTCGAAGAAGGGTCGATTTGAGAAATAAGTTAACATCTTAAATCTAACCGCTCATGATAAACACAACTACTTAACCAATACACTTCCAGGCATCACTAAAGCCATCACCTTAAAGCATTGAATAAGTTTAATTTCTAGAGTCTATACAAATTTGCATGATAGGGCAACAATACATAGAAGTATATATAAAAAAACATCCTGGTTATTCTATTATAGAAAATTTCTAACTATAGTCTTTCAAGGTCATCTTAGTGTAGCATGTTCAACTCCTCTTAGTACTATCATTGTTTACATTTCCGCTTATCGTCTATGCACTCGTTTTATCTTTTCACTAAAAAAATATCCCTAATACAATCCAATTACAATGATGTGACTTTGTGAAATGTTGTAGAAGTATTATTCAATTGATCACCACTGTTTATGTTATAAGTTGTCATTGCACTAGGGTTTGTATGGTTCATTTTACATATTTCTTTACATTTTGTTAATAAGGATTCATCTATTGAATTAAGACGGGATATTGTTATTATTTCTTCACTTTTTGTCCGGTGATGACATAATGTTTTTTGGAAATGTTCCCCGATTTCATTGATAGTAGATTGCTATAAAATAGAAAGCAAATTTAATATTTAAATGTATGAATGGGAAGTATTAGTAAATAAAAATATAATAAATGAGTGTGTGTGAACAATTTATCATATGGTATCGAAATAGGTTATTGATTATGTTAGAATTTTATATTACTGGTAAAAAGTGATTATAATCAAACCAAATACTGTCCTTCAGGTAATCTACTCGATGGATTGAATTAAGATTAATTAAAGTGACCGGTTTATTTGATATCTGGATATAATGTAATAGCCTGGTTCTGTATACCTTGAACATTTCGTTAAACTCTGAAGGATTATTAAGTTATCCCATGTGAAATGAATCTGCATACTTTTTCTGCTCGTTTCAAATTTGATCTGCTTTTTAGTTATGCCTGAAATAAAATCTCTCTCAAACTTCGCATCTGGCTTGTTGATATCCAGCGGTTCTGGTGAAGTTATCACGGCCAAAATAGTATGAACTGATCAGTTGATGAGAAATACCTATGATGGCGTAGCGAAGATTAGTACTTTCTATTATACTACAAAGTGACATCGACTGATGAATTATTGAGACTGTCATCTAGTAAAATGTTCTACTCTCAGCGTAAATAAGTATATTAGTCATAACAATTGAAGTTGCAATCCAGTAGATTATATGTTACAAGTTCATGTTATAGTGATGGCTTGAAGTTGATTATCCCAAATTATTCTACTAATTCATCTCTACATAAGGCAATAGCTTAATTCAGTTCTTATGAGTATTGTAAACCTTCCATAATAATTTGACTTCAATATAATGATACATGTACTTTTGTCTTCCTCACTGTTGTTTTGATTTATCCATTGTAGTTGACATTTCCACTATTGTATTCCTTATTTTCATTTTTATAAATGTAGTATGTACAATATGTATTTCAGTGTGCGTTACCTACTTCGTTTTGAATAGTTAGACGTGCCATTACTTATTTGTAGCTCAAAGTTTTGTTGTATGGAAATTTCTGAAGAAAACCAGTGGTTTGATATTGATGTTTGGTTTTGAATTATAATTTCAGAAGCATTAAATATCAAACTAGAATAACTAAATATTTATTACCTGTTATGCTACTAAAATAGCTGATGTAGGAGAGTATCAAAGGTATTACCATATTCATAATAAGCAGAACATCACTAAGGGATTTTGTTTTTGAACTGTTTTAGTAATGAGACTCCAAATATTATCTTTCCCATAATTCAAGGTTATAATTATACAAGCAAGGTCCACTGAGATGGCGTACTTACGTTTTGGTTTTTTAACAATAATCAGTCCCCTAGAATCAGCATACTACTTCATGTTAATACCCATCATAGACTCAATTATTTTAAATTACAGTAATGTTTATGAAATTGATGAGTTACGTTATGTTTTTTACTTTTACTTTCTTTCTAGGTATCATTCACTTTTGAAAAACATTAATAGATACTCAATTTTATCTTTACTTTTTCATAAGGTGTTTTCACTGATTGTACTTCATTATGCTTCGTTTGACATAGGAGTTTCGCATAGCGTAACAGAGAATGTGATATTATCATAAACATAATTCTATATTGTACTGACACTCATGTTCTGAAGGACTTTAGTACAATTTATTGTGGCTTTACAGTGGTCATATACGAAAATGAGAAATTGATTAAATGTCTAAGCTAAGTATTCACATAAATTAGGGATTAATATTCAGTGAAAAACTGAAAAAAGTCAATTTTAAATGATGTACATAAGTAGAATTATTATGATTACCATCGGATGGTTATTAAAAAGGTCTTTTCAAGAAATTGAAATGTTAAAGTTGGTTTCATAATTTGACCCATTACTAATTTACAAAGATTCTTGTCACTGATTTTAGTGCATCATTATCATCATCATTCCTTAGAGGATGTCTAAATATATCCCATTGCAGATATTAAAGACTACAAGTGATCATTTTCTATCGGCATATATGCATCCTCGGTGGATGCCATGATATTGGCTTTTTTGTTACATGAGGACTCATTAGCGGAATTTATCAGCAACTATTCAGTGTTAATACGACAAATTGCATGTCCTGAATTCCACCGCTAGTTACAGTTCAAACATGTTAATAATCCGATATAGAAGCAAATAATTCCGAAACTGTTTTTTCTTTCTGGGGAATAAAATGACTTACATTTCTGTTTATTCGAACTTTTAATACCCAAACTACAATTTCTGTAATCCAAACAAGTATGCCAAAAAATAAGCCAACACCTAAACCAATAAAAGCACTGGACATTTTTGCAAGTGTCAATTTACTTCTTGATGGCAAATTTGTATGAGAACTTTGTAAATAACATGGAACTGACGCATTGTAACGTTGTAACCAGTATTGCCGCATTTTCTCCAAAGTTTGGTCTTTCTGCAATTTTAATATACTTTCAGATAATAAATCTCTCAGACCGTTATCTAAAAAAGAGATGAACAAGAGTAAAGTAGATTGTTGATTGAGTACTATTTCACAAATATTTATGTAGGGATGGGCACTTGGAAATGCCTTTTTAATAATTTTGTTTCATATAGACTAGAAATACCAACAATGGTAATTATATCTAATTTAATATGAGATTGTTCAAATGCTATTGGGACTCAAAGTTTGTGACTAAGAGCAGTCCATAGTACACATTAATATTCAGTGATTATTTGATTGATATAGGCATTTGTTGAAATAGCCTTCAAAATTATCAGAGATCACTTTATTTTTACACCAAAAAATAAATTTTATAATTGATTATTGATAATAATTCTGTACCATTGTTATTAACCATCAGCTGGAAATCAAGATGCCCATAGTTTAGTTTCAGTTAGATCGTAAAATTCAATAGTCAATCAAATTACATTAATAAATCCAATTTTGATATTGATGATAATGTTATCATTCGTGAGACATATAAATCAAGTATTTATCTGTTGGAAGATAGTTTCCCGATGAGATGAAATCAAGTTTGGAACAACTGAAAGCCAGGAAACAATGGACAGTTGTTTTAGTAAAGTTTAGAACTCCGTGGAACATACAGTCCCACAAGTTACGCTATTTAAAACTTTCAAATCACGTCACAAGCAATATACAGTATAACCTCTGAGTTAGAATGTAACAGTCCAGATTTAATCATTCCAGTTAATCTGCGATATTGTGTGTTTATTATTTAATGCCAATTATCGCTTGATTGGTTTAGTATATTTTAAAATTGTAACCAGAAATTTATCTTTAGATAATTTCTTGTTAATTCTAGTAAGTAGTATTCACTTACTGCCTATTGGTAATCCGATTCCATATCCTCTTGGATCTAATAATCCACCAAGAGGAGTAAGTTTGCAATTACGTTGAGCATAATATTCATTAAGTGTCGATTCCAATATCAAAGCATAACCACCTTCAAGAACACGTGTAATACCTTCTTCCGTTTTATTAACAAACAATGATTTATTCTGATTCATGAAATTCCACATTCTTTGATAAGTAGGAATATCTGAATTCTTTAAATTTTAAATAAATGAAAATAAACATTAATGAAAACCAAAATCTTTAGAAAATTCAGAATAATTAAGACATGTTACTGGTATTAATAATTAAATCCACTCTGTAAACACGAAAGGGAGTATTATCATTAAGAATTTACTTCCCTGTATTTAAAAATAATATATAGGAAGTATATGCCAAATGATTTAAATGAATATCCATACCGAAAACATAATAAAATCAAAGATAATCAGCTGGAGTCTTGATGAGATAATCCAGATGCTTTACAAGTTAGTAAAAAAAATCATTCCACTGAAAATATTAATATTGGTAAATCAGCGGTCTTAAAGGTGACTGAGAGTAACCTAGAAGTCCTGCCTGTTCGGAACGTGTACGTTTTTATTCTTTTATCATTGCCTATCGATTTGTATTAAACTGATAATGTAAATCGGTGAAGGTTTTGTAATTGTTTTCATAATATATCATATTGTTATATCACTTTATATCTTGAAGTTTGCATGTTACATTCGCAGTACAACCTCAACGAGGTAACTAGCACGAATATTTAGTTATACAACTGTTGCATAGAACAAAATATAAATCTTTAATCTCACTTGGTGTTTTCACTAAAAACATTGTAAACGGTCTGTTAAATTTCCAATGCAGGTAAATTGATACTCTGAAATTTCTATGAAAAGTATTGATTTCTCGAATGGATTCTTTTAAGAAGCCAAACCTGGTAATTCTTTCTATCACGACTAATCAATAATAAATTCCCAGAAAGTCTTCAGAAATTCAGATAATGGTTATTCACGTTGTGTATAAAATAAAGTCATGCGAATTGTCAGCATTTTATCAGTAAGTAAAGATTATGTTTACTTAATGAGTTATAAGACTTTTGTTTCATAATTAACGAGCAAATAAGTTTACTACTCTATGAATGAGTCGGTTTGTTGGATCGATATTATATACACATCAATAATGAGTGGAAATAACCAAGAATATAAGTCTTTATATCGTGTATGGTATCGTAAAACACTTAATCAGGGCAACAGTGTAATGAATTATTAGTCTAACAATTCTTTATTAATAAACAACTATCATTTTGTAAGTATTGCAGAATTGAAAGTAAATTCGTCAACTATAAATGGTTCTTACGAATAACGAGAACCTTCAGTAGTATTTCTTTCCAGGATGCACACATGCTAACATGAGACTGATCAGTTGCAGTCCTAAACATCAATGGTAAGACTCAAACAACCAATACAAAAATGAATTTAAACTTCTCCCCATTGCACAAGCTAGTGGCTATCTGGATTCACTAGCTAGGTGGATAACGTGATGGCGTTTGAAATGGACGGTAATGGGTTGGAGCACCAGAGTGAGCATAAACATCCACTTGACGAGTCCGAAGTAGGACGAAACGCGAGTCCATTGCTAGCCACCATCTATCGCAACTACTCAATAGTTATTGAGTAGTATACACTAAAAAGTGTATGTTTTGATTTCAACTGGAGAAATGAATTTTTCTTTTAAAACTCTTTTATTAAACTTTTATTAATATTAGGCTGCGGATATTTAGGCTTAGGCAACATGAAGAATATATGAAATGAAAAGTCTAAAAATTCGTCGATGTTCATACAAGATAGACTCAATCAAATATATTTCATTTAGTGCGCTTGAAATTTTCCACATAAACAATTTTTATAAATAAAATATTTTGCTAATGTAGTTTTGTGTCACGTTCAGTAAATTTATCTGCTGGTATATAATACTTAGAATTTCTGTCCGTAATCCAACGATTTCAGTTTATATAAGAACGTAATCATAAATAGATCCTGACGTAATCAACTATAAGGAACATGTGATATACTTTAGTAATATCAGTAATAACTTAATAACTTTAATATTAATTATGAAACCAATTTTTAAGTCATCACGAGAATAATAGTGATAATAATTATTGACGTCACCCAAAAGATCATTTTTTAATGAAATGATTGTCAAACTTTATAGTTATACACATACATATATATAATATATATTATTCAAGATATGACAATCACTAGAAAGCTCTAATAGTTGAACAAACTGGGTGATTTCCTGAATTTTTCTAACTGTAAATGTTCTACAGTTTAGATAGATACTAATTAAAAATTAAAAAAAGTGACTAAAATGAATGATGAAGGTATTATTGTAATTAAATGAAAGTAAATGAAGAGGATGGAAAATACTCTCTAGGTAACAACATTATACAATCTATAGTTGTCCACTACAGTTGATTATGTTTTTATTTCTTTCTTATTACGTTCTAACGTAAGTTGAAACTGTTTGACTACAGAGGATAATGTTAATTATATTTTACTGGTAAACTGAGTGACCTGAATGTTACTAAATCATATTGATAGAACCTTTTTCTGTATACAGCTTAAAGCACATACAATGAGATTGATTCACTTCATCATACTATATCCATTGTTTTTAATGTACAAAATCACAGATTATAAGTAATAA